TGATCACTGTGGTGGTGGTGGTGTCACTGAAACGAATCGACCACCACAACTTGAGCACACTAATTGGCCATGTTAGTAGTGAGAAAAAAGGGAAAATAAAATCACTACTACTTGATCATAAAACGGATAAAGCAAGCACTGCTTGAGAGTGTTGAGAGTGAATCTTTGACTCACCAAAGAAACAACAAGCTTACCATTGCGCTCAAAAACGCTGGCAATTAAGATAGCATGAGAAAAAAAGATATTTAACGCAAACGGTAGCTCCGATTACCTGCAGCAGCAAAAGTCGGCCAGCCAGTACGGTACAAAACAGTGTTGAGAGGATGAGCAACAATTACCAGTAGTGATTGACAAATTGGCGACAGATGCTGTTTATCTGTTTGTGTGTGTATCCTCATGTTGTAAGTGTTGCCTCTTTAAAATGCTAATTACAAATACAGGGGAACAGAGAAGGAGGAAAAAGGCTATTCATTTGAGCAGCATTAGTTAAAATTAGATTGACTGCTGTGCTGCTGGTAATTAGTCGCAAGTCTAATCAAGTGCATTTTATATGCGATGATAGTGGCGGAGATTGGAGAAATTAAGAGGAAAATGTGTTTGTGTGCTTTTAANAATGCTAATTACAAATACAGGGGAACAGAGAAGGAGGAAAAAGGCTATTCATTTGAGCAGCAGTAGTTAAAATTAGATTGACTGCTGTGCTGCTGGTAATTAGTCGCAAGTCTAATCAAGTGCAATTTATATGCGATGATAGTGGCGGAGATTGGAGAAATTAAGAGGAAAATGTGTTTGTGTGCTTTTAACCAGGATGACATTATTGCTCAATTGACTAATCAAAAATGTGTTTTTCTGTTTCTTTTTTTTCAGCACGTTTCTAATCAAATGACACGGGAATGCAAATGCCACGGAATGAGCGGATCATGGTAAGTTGGTTGCAGGAATTTCATTTTTTCTTTGTTTGTCCGTCTAGTCGGTCTAGTCAGATCACAATCTAATCGATGCATCTTCTTATAATCATTTTGTTTAGTACTGTGAAGACATGCTGGATGAGACTGCCGACGTTTCGCGAGATTGGCGACAACTTGAAGGAGCGTTTTGACAAGGCGTCTCGTGTTCGGGTGAACAACGATTTTCGCGGCATTTCCGGAAACAAGTACAAGTACAAGAAGAGCATGCCACTGGAAACATATGAAAAAGGTACATTGAAACAGTAACTCTGTTTACACTGTCTTACTAAAAGTATAATTTTTTTCTATTTTATTTTACGATCATACAGGCTACCCATCGCCAACCAGCACTGATTTGATCTTTTTTGAAGAGTCGCCAGACTTTTGCGTTGCTAATCCCAAGTACGGTCTTATGGGCACTGAAGGTCGTCAGTGCAATGCCTCCTCTATCAGTGTCGACAGTAAGTGCTTAATTATCTTTTAAGAAAAGATGTATAATTTCTAATTACAACCCGTTTCTGTTCAGGTTGCAATTTGGTGTGCTGCGACCGAGGCTACACCACAGAGGAGATTGAAGTCACCGAGCGGTGCAATTGCACTTTTAGATGGTGTTGTGAGGTACGTTCTTGAGCCACAGTTAAATGAAAATCCCCATTCTAATTTTTACTTTTCTTTACCACGCTCATATACAGGTCAACTGCAGCATTTGCAAGGTGAAAAGAAAAATTCACAAATGTAAATGAAGAAGCTTCCCCCAGCAGACACACTCACTCAGACAAATAACTCGCTGAAATGATTAGCACTTTGATTCGTCGCACACATTATCTTTGATACACATTTACGGCCATCTTCCGCCAAACAGATATATTGATACACTAACACACACAGCGACACTGTTACCTGTTAATTTATTGCCTCTCAGCGCACTTGATGCAGTGGAAACCGTCACTCGCACCAGCACCACAACCACCTGTGTAATTTGCACAACTTTTTCCACTGTGGCTGCTCTCTTTCTCCTTTTTACAGAGACAATTTGTGTCCTCTCAACTATGTTAATATTTATTGCTCATCACACTGATCATTTTCTCTCTCATTTTTTCTACTTATCATTCTTGTTCATTGTGTATGTATCTCATTTTTGCTTGCTTCATCAACCCCCCTCCCATCAGAGTTTCTACTTCATTACAAATCTATCATCCCCTTCAATGTTATTTTTTGCATCAAAATGTTTGGGAAAGGTAGTCATGAAGGCACTGACCATAGCTCAGTGCACACAGACCACCCAACAAAGTTGCAAGTTGTTTTTGGTTTGTAGACAGTTTGACTCAGAGTAAGTGGGCACTACTGCAGCCACATGATGAGTGTCCGTCTAGCTTGTTCTACTGCTGACGGTGATCATCGCCAAAGAGTGATGGTGGTACTTCACTTCAAACATGACTCTTTCATTAGCACTACAAGTGAACTCAGCCGCCGATCTACTGTGAAGTCGGTCGTCGGTGCCATCGATAAGCATCACAGTGGTGAGTCTGCTGTCTGCAGATGCGTCTGTCTGTCTGTTTGTGTGGTAATGAGTGTCTGAATTTGTCCTCGCTTGTCCAGCGCATGGGACCAGTCATCAGTAGAGAGCACACTTGTTTTCCACCAGTAACAGGTGGCCATGTTCTGCTTTTGATTACTCAACTGGACAACAGAAAAAAATGTTTTGCTAATTAAGACCAGAATGTTTGAGAATTATACAATTTTTCTGTTTTGATGTGAGGGGATTCTAGCAGTTGCCAATGACCTCTAGAACACCTAAGAAGTGGCAAAGTTCATCTTTNATCACAGTGGTGAGTCTGCTGTCTGCAGATGCGTCTGTCTGTCTGTTTGTGTGGTAATGAGTGTCTGAATTTGTCCTCGCTTGTCCAGCGCATGGGACCAGTCATCAGTAGAGAGCACACTTGTTTTCCACCAGTAACAGGTGGCCATGTTCTGCTTTTGATTACTCAACTGGACAACAGAAAAAAATGTTTTGCTAATTAAGACCAGAATGTTTGAGAATTATACAATTTTTCTGTTTTGATGTGAGGGGATTCTAGCAGTTGCCAATGACCTCTAGAACACCTAAGAAGTGGCAAAGTTCATCTTTGTGTGTAGCATGCTTTTTCTGGTACTTTGGAGTAAATGTCTATTGCAGCTATGAGGTGGTAATGTGTCAACAGCACTTTAGAAGACTCACTGTTGACATTAGAACCCGAGTGAGGATTACACACTACACAATGGCTTAATCGATCTATAGTGTTAATCCACATTAGACGACATTAAACGACCAGCCCACTAGCGCTCTCTTTTCGCCTCTTGCTTACCTTTCCTTACCTTTCCTCCCCTCTTCACAGCTAATCACTTATTAATAGTTGACAAATACACACACACACTGTCACTATCACCACCAGTGCCATCACTACCACAACTACTACAACAGCTCCATCAGTGTACAAAGTGCCTGCCGACGATGATGATCATTGAAGGCGAGAACCTGAGAGAACTGCCTTGCGCGGCGTGTCTCTCTCTCTCCTTCTGCTGACTTGAAACGCTTATGTAAATTGCCCATTTCTCCCTACTTAGCACTACTTTCTCTCTCTCTCATTATCAGCACATTCACACTACTACGGTTTGACTGGTGTCGTACCGTGACATACACACACTCACACCTGCCGTACGGGCAGACTGACTGACAGACTGAGAATGTGACTGCAACTTTGTCTTGCGGTGTCTATGTGTCGGCGGTGGCTGGCGACACCACGATCACCACTGCCGCCACCAGTTCTCAGTGCCCTGTCGCCGTCGTCATCACTCACCACCACGAGGAAGGACCGCTGTTCTGGCTGTCGATCAATTTCATACTACAACCACCTCAACAGTAATTTAGCAAATTCTGTTGCTGCTGCAACTTGCTCCATCGCCAATTCTCGATTCCTGTGAGCCTCGTCGTGAATCTCTCTCACTTTACCGTGGCAGCAGCAGCTGGAGAACCTTCTCACAGTACCGCTTTTTTGCTTTCTATGCAGAAGACGACCACAATCTGCTGCGCCTCTCCTTGGCTCAGTGCACTGTGCTGCTACGTTTAGCTGTGGACGCTCAGGACTCTCACCTTTGACTTGACCACCCTCATCTTGGCTACCTTCCT